CACTCCTTTTATTCTGCGTCGAGAAAAGCCAAGCAGCGCGACAGAGCTTATCTTAACACGTTGACTGCCACGAGAATTTCGAGCGTTTCGTTATAGCAAGATTTATTCCTTTATAATACAGGAAAATAGTATTAGAAATAATTATTAATGTTTTGGTATTACAGTATACACTATTACAGTATTACAGTATTACACTATTATCTATCTTCTTGTGTTACTAAATGTTTGGATTCAATATCAATTTTCTTATGGTAATCGTTTTCAAGCAATTTGGAAGCTCCGGTCACCGGTGACCACCGTGGCAGTCAACGTGTTAATCTATGTTAATACTATTATATATTGATTTATAATAGGTAACGACGAAATACAAAATGTATCACTTGGATTACTTATATATGTTACGGTAAATGTGATTAATCCGGTGATTATGTATAATTGCCGGTTGTTATATATAATTTGCACTCCGAATTTCTTTTGCATTTTTTCCTCGATAACTCTGCATTATTACATTTTATTTGAAATGTATGTTAAAAAATAGCTCGTAAAGAGCAGTGTAAACAATTCTTCGTACTGATAATATCGAAGATAACATATTAATATGATCTGTTTTAAAAATATCTTGACAAAGAAGCACTCCCGTGAATAAAACTGATGTAGAGTCAAAAATTCGATTCTTAAAATTCAATGATTCTTCGTTTGTACCTTTACTAAGAGAAGAATCAGTGATACATAACACTGTTGTTTTTCGTGTCAGCGTGTTAACGACGAAGTAGCTCTCATCAATCACAGTCGTGTAAGAAATCATAACGCAAGGAGATCTTTGTATTGAGATCAAAGGAATTTTCCCAATTGTTCACGAGAACTGAAGAAAATTACATAGAAGAATATTTTAGAATGATTGCACGGGCACTGGGTTGCCAGCATAAGGGTTAAGGCAACTTTCGGCTGATGATAGCTAGCGAGCGCGCGATATCTGAAAGTCGAATCTTATTCAGATCGCTCCGGGCAGCAGAAAGTTTTGTCTACTGTAAATAAAGATGAAATTCGGTCACCGAGAGGACAATTGAATCGCGCAATAAGACAAAATATAAAATCATTATTGGCTCTAGAACAATAGTCTTTATCTAGGATTTGAAGTTGCCGAGATAAGCTATCAGGCACAATTGAATCAGGAGAGGAGATAATAAGCTGGAAAACGTTAGCGAAACTCGATATAAATGATTTTCTTCGTGACTTGGTTAAATTGCTAATGAAAGTTGTGCTTTCGAGTTGTGCTTGCGGTTAAGTTGCTATTCGACTTGTGCTTTTCAGGAAGAAGCTTTTGGAATTTATATTTGATTACAAGTTTGGAGGGTAATGGTTTACGACATCAAAAATGGCACGATTTTTAACGTATTTTTATTGTACTAGTATTTTTACTAAAATAAAAGTAGTAGTGAAATTGAACGGAGCGAAAATCAATGAATTTTAGATTTACGTTAAATTTCATTGATATTTGTACTTTTTATTGTGTTTTATCGGATTGTATTGATTTCAAGCTTCGAATTACTTAAATATTACGAATTATTCTATATACAGTGCTAATAAAATATTTAAAGGCACGAAGGTTATTTAATTCTTGCACGATTTGTTTATAAATTTTTAGAAATCCAAAGTTTAATGATTCTGATAATTTATAGAGAAATTTGAATGTGAATAATTCTAATAATTCATAGAAAAATCTGAATTTTAATAATTCCAATAACTTATAGAAAAATTTGACTTTTACCAATTCTGATAATCTATCGAAAAATTTGAATTTTAATCATTCTAATAATTCATAGAAGAATCTGAACTTTTCTAATTCTGATAATTTATAAAAGAATTTAAATTTCAATCATTTTAATAATTTATAGAAAAATCTGAATTTTGATAATTCCAATAACTTATAGAAAAATCAGGACTTTACCAATTCTGATAATTTATAGAAAAATCTGAATTTTAATCATTCTAATAATTCACAGAAAACTCTGAATTTTTCTAATCCTGATAATTTATACAAAAATCTGAATTTTAATCATTATAATAATTCACAGAAAAATCTGAACTTTACCAATTCTGAAAATTTATAAAATAATTTGAATTTTAATCATTTTAATAATTCATAGAAAAGTCTGCATTTTACTGATTCTAGTAACTTATACAAAAATCTGAAATTTTATTTAATTTTCAAAGAATAACCAGATGGACGTAGAACTGAAATGAAATGGAATGAAATAGAAACCTTAAGGTTCCACCGTAATCCATCCTCTTTCTAGCCGCTCAAAGTGATTGATAGAGGAAGATGCTTCTGACGGTGTAGTTACCGAAACATTAATCGTTTCCTTCCGGCTGATCCCGCAATTTTCTGCTGTTCTGTTCGTGAAGGTACAAGGATCGGTAGTGGGCCAACAACGCACAGACATAACGGAGAAGCTGTCGGAATCGGAACGGCTGATGAAGGTGATGTCGCAGACGTGGGAGGAGAAGCTGGTGGAAACCGAGAGGCTGCAGCACGAGAGGCAACAGTCATTGGAGAAAATGGGTATCAGCGTGCAAGCTTCCGGTATCCAAGTCGAGAAGAACAAATACTACCTTGTCAATCTTAACGACGATCCCAGCTTGAACGAGTTATTAGTCTATTACCTGAAGGTATTCAAAATGATTGATCATAATAATTATTTATTATTAACAATTATTTATTATTCTCTCGAGTTACCAGAACATACGCGAAAAACATCCTACAATAACAATTACTAATAACTAAACTTTATACGATTATATCTACTAAACATTTATCAAACTAATTGTATCTAATCAATTATTCTGTTAAAAGAGATCTATGAAAATGGAAATTTTAAGTTTAATTATTTCTCCTCAACTGAATTTTGGACATTCACTGTAGTTAATTTTATCATCGTTATAGGAAAAGTCAGTTCAGAATATACGACTAAAGTCAGAAAATAGTTGTGAAAAATTCGATAGGTGCCTTTTAATTCTTCGTCAGAAATAATGTTAAGATTCATGGTAGAAAACGACAGAAAAATACTAAAAATATCATAATTTTCAAGGGGTTTCTTTCAATTTTCGAGTTTATTCGATCAATTATATTAACCTTTTAACTACTGTACGCCACTATAGTAGCTTCAGCGCAAGTCATTTTTTTAACGACGCGTCACAATAGCGACTTCCCTGGATACCATGTTTTTAATAACACAGAATTAGCTCACTCTGTCTATAGATATGTCTAAGTCATCTTATATATCGAACATATAGATATACTCATATCGTCTGACTGCCCTCGTCGCTTCTTTTATTTCACATCTGTTTCACGTAAGATAAAGACACCAGTAATTGACTTGGTACCAGTAGTTGATCATTTTTCAGAATAACGTAACAAACAAGGTTTCCAAAAGTAATAATCTATCAATGAAGACTGAATTAAGTTGTTTATCATAAAAACTAACAACTTATTTGATTGACGTTGGTTGCATGCCTCCAATTTCCAACATGGAATTAACTTTTATTAACATTTTTATTTGCCCTGTTACTTGTGATTTCTCACAATCGTTGCAAGTAAACGATATTAAAGTAATCACCTTTCGTGTCTTTGGTTTTACTATAACTCAACTAGTAATTAACATAGTTAATTATTAGCTGTCTCGTTTTAAAAGATGGTCAACTTCTTTTCCAAAGATGTCTATAAAATTTACATAATATAACTGTTTCAAAAAAGTTCACTTTGTTACATAATGTACGAGGTTCAAACAGCATTTTCACGCATGGAATCTCTATCTAATAAAGAAGCAAGCGTTTATTATTATTCAGGCAGAGAATTTTTCCTAATTGGTCAACTATTGGTACTTTTACCTTAAACGACATTTTTTAGCAACATTTCTAATGTCATAGTAAAAACATGATATACAGTTTTGTGTGGTTCGCGTTGAAGCTTGCCGTGCAGAGATAATACATCATTGCGTTTGCTATTATTCAGGCAGAGAATTTTTCTCAACTGGTCAACTATTGGTGCTTTTACCGTAAACGACATTTCCTAGCAACATTTCTAATGTCATGAAGCTTGTCTTATCTCGTGCAGAGATAATATATCATTGTGGAAAATCCCGTCGTAGCTAAAAGATTGAACCGATGTTTGTGTGAAAACTTAGGAAAGGACACTGGTGGGCGGTCGTTCAGCGAAAACGGACCAGGACATTCAGCTTCACGGTTTGGGTATCCTGCCTGAGCATTGTGTGATCACGATAGAGGAGACCGGCCTGTACATGACGCCGTTGAACGGCGCCAGGTGTTTCGTGAACGGCACGCAGGTCGTCGAAAAAACGCCGCTGCTGCACGGCGACAGGATCGTCTGGGGAAATCATCATTTCTTCCGGGTGAACTGTCCCAGAAGCGCAACAGGTATGATCGAAGGTCGCTCGGAAGACAGAACTTCTTTTATCCTGTGCTCTATGATTTATTTTATAATTAGATTTGTAGCAGTTGCTTTTTGTTGTTGGTAATTTACCTATCTATTGGGTTGTTCTTAAATAATGCGGTTTTTTCGTGCTTCTTTTATTTTTTAAAATTAAGGTAAGCGAAACTTATTTTAGCTTAAATGACATGAGGGTCACCGATGGCCCCTAACTAAATTGAATTACTGTAGTTCACTCAATTAGACGAGGATTATTTGAAAACATTTTTATGTTATAAACAATGCTACCTAGTGCGATGATATTTGAATAAATGAACGTGTGATAATAATAACGCAATTCAATCAAATGATTTAATATTATATTTTTTCGATTTTGTGTATTTTGATGTATAGAATCGTGCGGCATTCAATGTATTAGTGTAAAATATATTCTTATTCATTATCTGTAATGCTCTTGCATCTTGCTGGTAGATTTTCAATGCCTCTATTCCAAGATTTGATTTGATGACGAAAAATATAGTATGTTCGATTGAAACCGCAATACTTATGGGATGACCTAATAATAGTAGGCATTGAAGGATTTATTGAAGGGTCACATTAGAATTAGCAGTCGACTTGATTAGATTATATTTTCTTTTGTAGAAAATATAATAGTGTATTTATTGAATGTTGATTAATTTATATTTTAGTTTTTAACCCTTTGCACTCGTATGTCATGCTAAAAATGACGATATAAATTTGTTATAGAACATTGGAAATTGTTTGAAAAAGTACCACACTTTAAAAGATTATAAAAATTAAATCTTATAATAATAAATAAACTTAATTCAGGAAAAATTAATTAAAAAATTAATTCATTTCCCTAAAAATAAATGCAGATTTACATCCGATAACATTGAAAATAAATCAAGTGCAAAGAGTTAGCATTAAAACTAACATCAGTCAAATTGAGAGATTTCAGTTTTCTTGTTTCGCAATTATTGTTACATTAAAAGTATTAAATATCATAAATAATTTAAAGCATAAATAGTTTCGTTTCAATATTATAACGAATATATAAAAAAGTCGAATAATATCGATTGTACAATTTTTATAAATTTTACATATTGATGCTATTAAATGCTCGGTAATTCTAGTGTTAATATATTGTTCCTTCATTTACAGTAACATATAACATACTCAATTACAGTACTTTTAAAAGAAGTCACGAATGAGTCATTTTGAAGCATCTAGTAGTTCTAACATTAACCATCGGTACCTAAGAATGTTTTAAATACATTTTTCAATGATAATAACAACTGGGTGAAACCTTCTGACAATAAATTATCCGTATATAATTAAGAATTTACTGATTTTGTTTAACAGCGATCAACAGCGAGCCACAGACACCCGCGCAGAATATTGATTACAATTTCGCGAGGGAAGAGCTGATGCTTAAGGAGCTGTCAAATGACCCGATACAGAGGGCCATCGCGAGACTAGAAAAGCAACATGAAGAGGATAAACAGGTGCGAAGTCTAGGACATCAATCGAAATACATGATTAATTTCATGAAGGAAGTTATTCGTTAGACTCCGAATTTCATAGAACTCACTGCTCATTCTGTTATATTGTTTTGTTACATAATAAAATAACATAAACTACATTTAAAAATTAATTATTAGAATTAAAAAATTCTAATTTCTTTGCAAAAAGCGACGCAAAAATATTAAAATTTACTATTAGTCATTGAAGAAGTAAATTTTTGAACGCTTCAAACTTAGATCTGTCAACAAGACACTCATACTTATTATTGCCAGATATTATTACTGTATATCATTATTATTGCAATTATTATTAAAACTTAAATACGATTTTAATGCAGTCATATTTAAAATGATTATGAACGCAATAATAAAACTATCATTTAATTACAATCAAAATTATTAACTCGCTAATAAGACCTTAATAGTAATTGAAATTGTTATTGACACATTAATAAGGCCTTAATGTAATAATAATTAAAATCATTATTAACACGCTAATAAGGCCTTAATGTAATAATAATGAAAATTACCATTAACACGTTAATAAGGCCTTAATGTACTGATTAAAGTTATTATTAACACGTTAATAAGACCGTTCATTTATGAAAAGGTCGCGCTGGAGAAGCAAAGGCAAGAATACGAGCGCCAGTTCCAGCAGCTGCGCAACACTCTATCGCCATCGACGCCATATTCACCTTACGTACCCTATGACCCGCTGAGAGGAAGTCAAAGCGGTAAATTGCCAGCCTGCACGCCGACCACGCAAATGCGCGTCGAGAAATGGGCGCAGGAGAGGGATGAGATGTTCAAGAGGAGCTTAGGTCAATTAAAGGCGGACATCTTGAAGGCAAACTCTCTGGTGCAGGAAGCGAACTTCCTGGCGGAAGAAATGGGGAAGCAGACGAAATTTAGCGTCACCCTGCAGATACCGCCCAATAATTTGAGTCCGAATAGAAAGGTATTATTTATTCCAGAAGATTTTAACGAATGAAATTGTTTTGATGAACATTTCCATTGATTAGAAAGTGAAAACATCCACGTGAGTACGACAAACTTGTCGAAAACCATCTGTCTTGTTATAACAGTTATTTCTTTTCAATTTTACACTTAATTTAGCAATTGTTGAATTGTTTGTCTGCCTTTTATCATTGTTATCATGCGTTTAGATTGCAATAATTAGACTGCGTACTTGATACGCGTTGATAATGCGAAATGAGTATTGTAATTAAGTTTCAATTCGGTCACTTTAGGTTTAATGGTACTCTTTATAAATGATTTTATTTTTCTATAATTTAGGAAGTTCGATTTATTGAGTGTATTATCTGAAATGTTTCCTATGAGAATTTGTATTTTACGTAGAATTTGAATTTGGCGAAAAATACGCAGTCTGATTAGAGGAGTTAATTAAAGTCACATGCACCATACGATTATCATAGTTTTGTATTGATTCATGTATCGCGATATCTCTATAGAATCCTAATTTCAAATTTGATTTTCAAATTTTTTAATAAATCACTTAATTCAATTTCTAACGAATACGATTATTATAATTTTCTATTTATTCGTGTATCACAAGATATGAATAAATTCTTAGTTACAAATTTCATTTTCGAATTTTTTTAATGAATCACTGAATCAATTCAATTTTCAATGAATCACGGTTTCTGTACAGATTCGCAGCTTTGTTTATAATTTCACGTATTTTCAGTTGGCTTTCTGTTGTGTTTATTTATTTGTGATCGTTCTGCTTTCGCACTCTTCGGTAAGCAGAGTGTATTTTTCCAGCGGGGCGCGTTCGTCAGCGAACCCGCGATCTTAGTTAAAAGGACGAACACGGGTAGCCAGGTGTGGTCAATGGAGAAACTAGGGAACAAATTGGTCGATATGCGAGAGATGTACGAGGACTGGAAGGATCCTAACAACTTCCAACGATTGCCTGCCATGAAGGCAAGTGACTTGACCCAAAACAATCTCTAGGAAAAAATATAAGAACATTAATTTTCTCAATTTTTCTTTTCTGAACTTAACCGCATTGACTTCTGAGCGACTCATATAATAAATGTAATATCATTGTGATTTGAGATTGATAGAATTTTCCACTGTGTAATTACGTTAGATTATACTATAATGTGCACAACTATCAATGACAGAGAAGGAACTGCACCACTATAGTAGCATACAACTCAAAAAACTGATACATACGAAAACCACTATAGCGTCATATTCAAAAATTAGATTACACTATAATCTGAACAACTATCGATGACAGAAAGAACTGCACCACTATAGTAGCATACAGCTTAAAAAGCTAATATACATGAAAACGACTATAGTGTTATATTCAAAAATTAGATTATACTATAATATACAAAACTATCAATGACAAAGAAAGAATTGTACTCAAAAAGATGATACACACCAAAAGCACTATAGTCTCGTACAGCAGCTGAAATATTAACCATAATATCCTTTTCTGAATTACTTCTCTACGCAGGACGAGGTACCAGGAAAGACGCAAGACCCATTCTTCGAGTCGCAAGAGAACCACAATCTGATCGGAGTGGCGAACGTGTTCTTAGAGGTTCTGTTCCACGACGTCCGGTTAGACTATCACACGCCGATCATCAGCCAACAGGGAGAAGTCGCTGGACGACTGCAGGTCGAGATCAGCCGTACATACGGGCATTTCCCTCAGGACCGCATGTGCGAGGCTGCGTCCGAGTCCTCGGCCAATTCGACCTCGTCCGAGCCCGAGGATTATTCCGGCTCGAGTCACGTCACCTGCCGTGTCACGATTAAACAGGCCACCGGCTTACCTCTGTCACTGAGCCATTACGTGTTCTGCCAGTACATGTTCTGCGGCCACCCGGAGCCGATCGTGGTCCCAGCTGTGGACAACTCCGAGCAACTCAACTCGAACTGTCAGACCGGGCAGAGGGACTCTTTAGCGTTCAAGTTCGACCACACGAGTAACTTTGTTGTACCCGTCACGGAGGAGTTCATGGAACACTGTGCTGGTACGCGAGGCATTCCCTTTTTCTTGGATTTTCTAGTTTCTTTTGTTATCATTGGAAATTCAGAGTTTTAGCCATTTTTTAAAGACTTTTCGTTCGGGCTGCATGGGGCGTATACTACCCACACTTTTACAGTTAAATAAAATTGACCCTTTGCACTCGAGAGGCGACTCCTAGTCGCCAGATGATTTGATACAGGAAAATTATAAATTTTGGTATTTACTTTAAATTTATTTTAAAGAATCTTGTCTACAATTTGGCTAGAAAGTACTGAATATTTCAAGCGAAAAACTTTCGAGTGCGAAGGGTTAACACGTTGGATGCCATGGAGGTTACCGGTGACCTCAACCAAATGGAATTACTATAACTCATTCGATTAAACTATGATCATTAGAAAACTTTTCTATATTACAAGTAATACAACCTAATGCAGTGACATTCAATAAGATAAACCTGCAATAATAATAACGTAATTCATTTACATAAGTTGATGTTATATTGTCTTCATTTTGTATATTTTTCTTGGCAAAGTTGTGCGGCACTCAACGTGTTAAATAAACGCAGTATACGTTAAACGCATGATATAAAGATGCCTATATTTGACTCTACAATAAATTTTTAAAACGTTCTTCGTTTTTTAATGAAAATTCCAAGCGGCCTGAATGGAAATTTCAGCGTAGGTCGTATACGCCCCACGCGGCACGGAACATGTTAATGTAATAAGAGAATTTATTTCAATGTTAATGAATTATGTGAATTGTTTTAATATTATTAACGCGTTGACTGTCACGATGGTCACCGATGGAGCTTCCAAATTGCCGAAGAACAATTGCAATAAAACGATTGATATAAAAATGTTTAGTAACATGAGTAGCTAGTGATACCAAATCATTGATAATTATTTTCAATTTCATTTGCTTTTGTTATTAATGAATAAATATTACTAGACAAAACGCTAGGAATTCTCCTGGCAGTCAACGTGTTAAATTATATAAATTATTGTAATATTAATAAAGTATATGAATTATTTTAATATTTCAGTAAATTAAATAATATTACTTTAGTACAGTTAGAAGAATAGAATTAGGATAGATAATGCTTTTTACTAGGAAAATTTATATATATATGAGTAGCCAGTTCTATGTATTTTTCAACAATAATTTATATTCTTTTGAAAATATTGAAAAGTTGTTTCAAATTTGTATAAAGATATCATTCACTGATAACAGATAATAAAACTGTAATAAATAAATAAATAAAATGTAATAATATGTTAATTTGTATGTTTAGAGGGTGCTTTGAGTATAGAAGTATGGGGCCACCGAAGCGCAGGTTTCTCTCGAAGCAAACCCGGCTGGGAGGTCGAGCAACAATTGGCCAAAGCTAGATCTCTGGCTGATCGATGGTCGGAGCTCACGCGGAAGATCGAGCTATGGGTTGAAATTCAAGAACTGAACGAGCAGGGAGAGTACTCGCCGGTCGAGGTATCCGTGAAGAGAAACACGTGGACAGGTACATGAATTTCTTTTTTCCAATAATATATTAAATATACGACCTACTGTGTCTAAACGCCAAGACCTAACATAAACGTAGTATGTCAGTAACAGTGAATGATCCAATCCAATCCTGATAATCGCAACGTTTTGAATTTTCAATCTCTATATTAGAAACTTAATTCATTAAATAAAGAAGAGGTGAATAGGTGGATAAATTGTTACTGTAATAATTCTAGCCGTTAATAAACTGAAAAGTAATCAATTAAACTTGAAGATAAGAAAAAGGAATTTTCTAATGTTCTAATCTTATAACCCTGAAGAATCTTATGCTGCGAATTTGCATGAAATTGGTGGATGCAATGAAAAACCGTATGTAGGTTGTCCAGTTTTAATTAGCCGAATGAAATACCTTGAAAAATATTGAAAACACTGTGGAAATGTTTCTGAACAAAATTAATCGAACTTATATTTTTCTTCTTACAGATCCCTTAGCAACCAATTCCTACTAGCGACTAATTGCAATTTTTACAGGTTCTTTTAATGATGCGAACTCATCATTTTCCTCAGGCGGCACTTATCAGCTGCGACAGGGGCAACAGCGGCGAATACAAGTCCGCGTGAAACCAGTACAAAATTCGGGAACACTGCCGATTATTTGTCAGTCGATACTGAACATTGCAGTTGGCAGCGTTTCTGTGAGGAATAGGCTTCAGATACCTTTGGACAGTTATCAGGACGAAGACCTGAGCATACTAAGGGAAAAATGGAGCGAAGCCTTGATGAAAAGGAGACAGTACTTGGATCAGCAGATACAGAAACTTATTAATAAGCAAGGTACATAAAATACCTATAAAATATCGAAGCACAAAATTTTCCAGTTTGTACAAACTGGTCCATAAAATGTTATATTAGTAGTTAAAGTTATTACTTATAATATAATTATCTTGATCTGATTTATTTAGAGTTAAAAAAAATTGTACTTCTCCCAACTGTAACTTCTTATTTTATATTTCATTATGTTCCTCGTGTCCATTAATAACTTATAATACTTCTTAATAATCGTATCAATATAATATATCAAATGTATTATTCAAATAAATTTCAGATAAAACCGAACAGGATATAGAACGTGAACAAAGCCTCGTAGATCAGTGGGTCAGTTTGACGGAAGAACGTAACGCTGTTCTGGTTCCTGCGGCAGGATCAGGAATACCTGGTGCACCTGCTGATTGGAATCCACCACCGGGCATGGAACCACACATACCTGTACTTTTCCTTGATCTCAATGGTATGAGAGAGCATCTTTAATGTCTTTTCTCTGAGAACTCCAAATTGATTAAATGTGATAACGTAGATAATTATGTATGAGATTGTATCAAAGAGTTTACTAATGTTTATGAAGGTTTGAAAATGTTTGAAAATGTTTGCGAATATTTGACGGCTAATTAACTTTTCGTACAAGTGTTTTCAAGCGTTTAGAATCATTTGTACCAACAGAAAAACTTGCGAGAAAGATGTACAATTATTTGAGACAGTGTAAGACTGTTTGAACAATTTTTTCTGATACATTCGAAATGGAATATTACAGCCGATGATCTCTCAACACACCAGTCCGGCGAAGAAGTCTCTGTGACTGGACTGAACTCGATCTTACCCAAGGAACACGGGAATAAGTTCTACAATCTGCCGATTATACGACGCATCGAAAAAGACGTCTGTGCCATTGCTGCTTGGGACTCCAGTATACACGACAATAAACACTTGAACAAAATCACAGATCGTGAGTCGAAATAATCTCTCTAGACCAAGTATTTAAAAAATAATATCCACTGTAACTTAATGAAAACATTTAATTTAATTTTAAAGTAACTTTCAATTTTACTACCATCATCAAGATATCATTTTAGTATTTTCTGCATTAATGTTCAGTGACTTTTAACGTTATACTTTATACAGTAATATGTCATTTTTATCGAAATAAATAATTTTGCTTTGAATAATGATTGTATAAACATTAACGACACGTGGCACGTGCTTCAGCGAACGAGAGGGTCTTTTTGATCGTGAAGACGACAGTGCGGCTGTCGCATCCGGCGCCGATGGACCTTGTGCTGCGTAAACGACTGAACCTGAACATTTACAAGAGGCAAAGCATCAGGGACAAAATATTCAGGAAAATAATCGGTACCGACTGTGAGACCCAAACAGGCGTCACCTACGAGGTCGTGTCTAATATACCAAAGGCGAGCGAGGAACTGGAAGACCGTGAGAGCTTGGCGCAGATCGCTGCCAGCGGAGAAGACAACAGTCTCTGCGATGGCGAAACGTATATCGGTAAGTTGCTGCAATTTAATTTGTTTATCTAATTGTTCTTATCAGTGGTCGTCCACTAAATAATCCTTATAATTAATTATAAAAATTATAATCAAATAATATTCTTTGAAACAATCTAGTTTACAAATTTGCTACTGTACCTAATTACCAGACTTCCATGTTTATACATTTTTTAATATACGAATGCAGAGAATATACTAAAATAGGATTTTTAAAGTAATAAATGTTCCAATTTATTTTGAACTAAATAAAACGATTAATAGAGAAAATTGCCTACCATTTAAAACTTGATTTTTTAAATTACTCTGAAAATTATAATATTGCACGAAGATCCAGGATTTTGTGATTATGTATAAAACAGAATTTTATTCTGATGTCTCTCAGACCTAACATTCATTCCTCTCGGTTTCATGTAAGAAAATTCGCCTATTATTTGTGGACGACCATTAAGTATCTATTTCAACGTTAAGACTCATGTGTCTCACCTGTCCAACTAGAAAAATACACGCGCGGTGTCTCGGCGGTGGAAAGTATCCTAACTCTAGACCGATTACGACAAAACGTTGCGGTGAAGGAGTTGCTGCAAGCACAAGGCCAACCACTGATGCGCAAGACAGCAAGTGTGCCCAACTTCTCGCAGGTACTACTGCCTCTCCGCCGTCTCGGACGCACTGTATGCTTTTCGTTTAATTTGTTTTTCTTTGCTTTTTTAATTTTACTCTTGTTTTTCACTCGTTCTTTCCCTTCTTAATACCGATCACAATTAATAGTCAAATATAATTTATATTTACTGCTCAAAAATTTTTAAAGAATTTTTAGAGCAACAGAGATGCGAGGATATACCGCAGTTAATCATTTCATGACCCTTCTACACAATTTTTCATCAGTTACACATGATTAATTCCAACTATACATACACATGTTTCTCTTTTTAATTTTTCTATAATTTAAATTATATTATCCGCATAATTCTTAGCAACAGTGTCAGAAAGTTATTAATTAAGTTATTAATCAGGAATACTGCAAATTAATAGATATTGAAGTAACCATTATTTTTAGTTTAATAACTCCAACAATATTCATGTTACAAAAGAACGACGTTTTTTTGCAAAAAAAATATCGCTTATTAGCTACAACAGTGATGTAACTGGAACACGATGACTATCTAGAAAACGAATTTAATTTTTTTTTAATATTATTCTTTTGTAAAAATATCATACACTGAAATACTAAATACTAAATATAAATTCTAAATAAAATTCTGAATATAGTGAAATATTAAATTCAGACAAAAGTGTTATAGTATATTCGTTGAGTGCTCTAAAGTTTAAAATGCCATTTTTTCTCCATAAATAACTGGCTAATGACAAATGTGCAGTTACATTATTGTTGCAACGAATGAGCGATATCAATTAATCTAACGTATTACACGACATTTTTATTTACAGTTCATGAGATCCGACACCTCGATGGACTCCCTGAACGTCACGCGTTCCGAAAGCGTGACTGATCTCAACAGCGAACTGAACGGGATGTACTCTCGCCGCGCGTCCACCGGCCATACTAGAAATGACGAAAATTTCGTGACCACACCATCAAAACCATTTGGAATCGGTAAGCACCTTTCACACGCATTCAATCTTCCTAGTAGAATCTTCAGAATATTGAACTCATTAATATTACCATTCTATGATCTCCTAATCGCACGCTTCAGTATCTGTATAATGTTTTACCTAAATACAGGGTGCTTCATAATTCACGGTACAAGTCAAATGTATAATATTCCTATATAAAAAGTAACTGAAAAATGCAGAGCGACATTTTCTTGCAATTCACATTATTGTCAAAAATACTGAATTCTAATTTCATACTGTTGAAGATAACACGAAGACTTTATGAATAATAAAATTATATTTTATTCAATATAAAAACACAAAATTTTGCTTAATAAAAAATTACATGAAATACTGATTTTGAGAAACAAGTACAAAATGTAGAATAAAATTTAACAAAATAACACTTAGTTTTCGATATTAAATTTATACATTCAGGTGCAATTGGACTGAATTCCATGTCTGCTCATAAATCGCCTGTTCTACTTATCGCGGGCTTGAACGATCACGAACATAAATTAGATTCCATTCTATGAATTGATTAAACCTAACATGAGTATGTACCATTAATTACGGAACACCCTATGCAATTCACAGAATTTTTAAGAGACAAAACCACGTTGACGGGCGCCGTTTACGAAATCATAGAAGATCCGAGATCGAGATCCAATCGGTACACACAAGAAAAAGAAAACTATCAAAAAAGAAAAAAAAAGAAAAAGAAAAAGAAAAGAATTCAATCGCATCCGAACCAAGGATATTTATTTTTCAATTGTTCAACACGAGATTTCACTCATACATGTCATTCTATCATCCATTAGTTGTCTGTTCGTTTTGTAGTAATCCATTTCTATCGAGATCGATGAATCGCTCAAATTAGAAGTTTCATTAACATAAACCTTTTTTTTCGAATCGTTCTGGCAACATGGTTATTAATACTGTTACTGTTGTTCATAATAACTTCTTTTAACAATATCCAACTGGTACTACCATAAAGTACGCCAACAAAAAGGTAATTCTGACGACTTTCC